TTTGGCGTGAGTTATTTCCGTCCGGGTCGACGGGAACGCCGCCCAGAGAGGGGAAACTTGAACACACTCACGCAAGCTACAGAGAAAATTCTGGCTACGACTTCCTGCGCAAATTCCTTTCCATCGAATCGAAAACCTTTCTTGTCCAACATATTTCATCAGTCGAAACGTACAGCACCGATCATAAATACCGAATACGACGGTTTGATCGATATCTAGTAACAACTTCAAATGTCACTAGAACGTGAGAAGGAATTACAGATTCTATCACCTGCTTGTAATTATAATGTAATTGTACTTACTAATTCATAAATTTGTAAATTAAAGTGAATTTTTAATGAACGGATTGCTGGTAAATTGACTGTATAATAATTTTATCAATTATTCCCTAGAAAAGTTACTAGCGGCGTATAAAAATTAAATGGATAAATTAAACGTGAAAACGTTATCACTGTAATTTCTTTGCACTTATTGTTTACTCGATTATACATACACCTTCATCCTTCACATGCAAGGGCACACGGTATAAGAACCGAGTAGTATAGTAATGGTGAGAACGAGTAAATATTTGGACACGGCAAGAAATGTGTACACTGTATCACGAAACATTCGGTTCGTTAAAAAGAAAGGTTATGGAAGACCGGCGAAATAAGCACACAAGATAAGATTTATTCCACTGTCCTTGACCAAATTTTGAAAATACTAAATTTCCAAATTCACTTATTATTACACATATACTCTGTTTGTTTCCAAAACTACCTCCTCCAAAAATAGAAATAAAAAGAAAGAGAGAAAGGAAAGAGCAAAAATCTCAAAACACGCTCTGTATGTCGTTACTCTCTGTTACGAAGCGTTCACAGGGTCAAAACACCTAGCAGATCTCCCAAGAACGCATACTTGAGTAGAGGCCGAGATGCAGAAACTAGTTCAGCCAGAAGGAGCCGTCAGGTCGTGAGGCGACTCGAGGGCGGACTTAATTACGAAGACGCGCGCCGGTTTTAAGTAACAAGAGTTGCCCTTACGCGAGTTAGCACCGGTTCAACCGGTGGAGCCGACTTCCTGCCGGGAAGTGACGTAACAAGAGCAATTAGAATGTTCCACATCGCTCATAAAGAGGCGCGAGTGCCAGTAAACCGGCGTAAAATTCTTCGCCACTTCCTGTTCGTCGTTCTTGGCCGGGCGTACAAGGGAGAGATACCTCGAATCGCCCTGACTTCGACCCGTCTGGCAGCGTTCGAAATAGATGTTAACAAATAAACCGCCGATAAATTCCATCCGCATGAAAGCACCGCGAAATTGACTATCGTCATAGTCGTCCTGCGATGAAAAAAGTTGCGGGTTTTCACTTTTATTTTAAGCACAGATACACAAAATGATTTGTTCTGTCAGCAAGGATTTGGATTTTTAGTCTTTGATCATAAGTTCTAGATGGAAGATTCATGAGGATTTCTTGGAAATTTATTAATGACAAGAAAATATTTGTGGAATGTATTCTAACTGTTGAGATATTCAGAATGACGTAGAGTACAGAAATACTTGTTAGGTTATATTTATATGGTAACACTGGAACTACCAAACTGTGGAAAATGACTGGTTTTATGACATTTTGTTGTTGCAGTTGTTAAAAGTATGCAGCTGTTGTTTATAGTATTAACATTGACTTTTATCTGCATAGAAACATGATTTGTTTCTATTATGTCATTATTATTATATTGCCTGTATATTAATATTATTATTACTTATTGACCTTTATTTAGATGAATAATTGTATGTACCTATTTATATCTATTATGTCATTGTAATTATTGTTATTTATATATAATCTACTTAGCTACAAATAACAGATTGGTAGTTCTAGTGTTAATTGTGGGCCCACCTTGTGCAAGAGATGCTCAACGCAGCAACTGTTTTGATAGATAGTACAAATTAAATGTGCTTTTTATGTTACTAAAGAATATTTTGATAACACATATTTGAAGTGTTAATTGGTTAACTGGAAAACAGTTTAACCAGAAAACAAAACAAAATAAAAGATCAAACAAGAAATTATTGGAATTGGAATCTACAAAAATTTCCATAAAATCTACCAGAATCTTATAACGGATTCAAAGTATCCAATTGCTCATAATAGTGTGACAATACATTCTACATCTCACAAAATGAGATACTTCAAATAAAATGACCAGAAATCTTAATTTTTACAAAGATCTTTACGTACCTAGTACAATATAATTAGATAATGAATATTGCCTATATTTCATAACTTGTATCCTTTTATATCACTTCTGAACTTGTAAACTGTTAAATGCACATGTACAATTGAATTGCATGCACTTAACTAAACCATTACTATCACCAGTTAGTTTACCTAAAACATTCAGGCCAAATTCTCAAAGAAATAATAATAAGAACATTATAAAATATTATTTTGAATGCACAGTATACAACAAGAATATTAAAAATGATAAATAAGAATGTACCTTTACAGTATTACAAACTAACCTCAATAAAATATCCTATTAATTCGATAACAGTTGGTCAACATTTGAAACCACAAACTTCCACCAACTACCCTTATCTAATACAACAAAACAAAGTTCTCGAAGAGTCGTGAATATAACCTCACTAAACTATCTAAATTTCTTGATGGGACGTCACACGGAGTCACAGTGGCCCGTATATGCGACGCTGATTGCGTAAAATGGTGGACCAGATTCGGCGGTTGCCAAGTTGTGCAACAAGCGACGCTAGAGGGCGAAATATGCACGTTCCGCAATGAGTCAGCCGTAATAACTTCGCATTCGTCGTCCTAACGCATTTCTAAGTATTGGGCTGGTACACATGAAGCGCTGATCATACGTACACTTTTACAAACGTCGTATTTTTAATCAAAATCATTTTCACGGTATATTACGAATATATTATATCTGTCTTCAATAATATAAATTATATAAATTATTATATATAAATTATATAAAATATTACCTTTTCACATAAATATTCTGACCAATCTTACAAGTAGAAGTTAAGTAAAAACAGTAAATACATGGAAACACTAGTCTAATGCACAAATGGACATACTTTAAATAAAACTACAATTAAATTATAATTAACTCCCATAATTCTGACAATTTAAAAATTTATAATATAAAACTTTCCATTCTTTTCTTTTTTTTAATACGATTAAAAATAATTGATAATGGAATAGAAATTAATAGAAAATATTGACCCAATATCACGAAATTAAAATTCCGAGAAAAATTCGCATGCACTGGTTTAATTAAAACGTCATTTCGAGTCGATGCTCAAAGATCGAAATCTCATGCCAATTGTCTTTCCAACCCAATTAAGCGCCACATAGTGGTTCCAACACCACCACAAACTTGCTTTTCAGGAAGCTTTGATCCGACTCCAGAATATACCTCTGGCAACGATTTCTAGTGTACGGAAATAACAATATGAATTTTGTTGATAAAATCGTCGTTGTTTAAATTTGTGCTATTACTTAGCCAGTCTGATGTAGGTAATCTGACATATGCGTGGCAGAAGACTCGATTTAATTTAAGCCGTGAGTATAATATTCGCGAAACTGGTCAGGATTCGCGATGGTGATTTGTCTCTGTCGTCGAGCCAATATCGGGGTGGAAATATCGCGTTCGACATCGATATCGCGACCAAAATTCTAAAAATACCGGTTCACCGACTTTCGAAGATCAACTCGGTATTTTGGTGCTTGGAATTTCGACCACAGCGATTCCAGAGCGTCTGAGCGACTAAGGGCGCTAAATTAGCCACGCTTTCACCAGAAATAGGGACATTTTGGGAACGCGATTTGGTAACTTTTTTCTCACACTCCCTAATATAAACGTAAGATAAATTATTATTTTAAGAATTATTCCTATGTTCTCTACTGGCGCCATTATGGGAACATTGCTAAACCTATTATGCTCGTGAATTATTTTCGAATTAATATAAAATGAGGTTATGTTCCTGTGATACTTTTATCGATGTTTTACCAAGTGTTGTGCAAGTGTACAGTGACCGAAGATCAGCGTGTGAGTTTTAGAATGTACATTTCTTCAGCACTTAGAAGTTTAGTAACATGTTCCATTAATTACGAGGACACGACACCGCGAGTCATGCGATCTTTTAGAGAGGAAACATTTAACCTTTTACCTACTACAGGCGAATGTACTTGCCTTTAGCCTGAACATGTTCCCATGATTTGAAAGTCTAATTCAACTCTCTTCGAGTGCATACCCAGTGAGACGTTTGAAACGATCAAAATTACTCGTAACATTTGTATTTTAAAAAAGAAACTAATGCTCATTAAAAGAGAAAAATTGGAAATTTGATAAAGGAAGTCTGTCTAACAAATATGGCGCTTGAGATACTAGCGCTGCCTATCGTCGATTTCCAGAAATTAGTAGTAATCGTTACAGTATAATATTCTCAGAATAGTTACTACGATAAAACTCCAATATTTGAAATAAAATATTAGATACTGTTTCTATTGATTCTAATAGATTTAATATTTAAAATAATGAAATCCTATTAAAACAAATCTATTTCAAAAAGCAACTCATATCCATGGTAAACCAGAAATTATTCAATTATTCTAGATTGCTTCCATAATAATTTTTAATATCAACGGATTCAAAATATCGAAATATAATAGAACACCAATATTCACGTTTAAATTAATTTTCTATTCAGTAAGACAACGCGTATCTCACTCTATTTCCAGCAAAGTGGCTCGTGCCAGCTCCTCACTATGGCGCAAGCATACTCTCGAATGCATACGCCGTAAAGAAAGGGTTAAAACACACGTTCTTAAACTCCTAATCAAACACTTAAAGATTCCCTTGCACATCCAAGAGCGAAAACTCCTGGCTCTCCCGCACCCAAGTGTCCCTCCTTGGGATCAGTATTTTCCATGGCAAACAGAATAAGGTCTTACAATGAACTCTAACCCCTAGAGGAACGTGAAGGGTACTCACCAGCAGTTTGTTGTCCACGCTCTTGACGACGATCTCCTCAGGCGCATACTGGGAGACATCGAATCGGAGCTTCAGCATCTTCCTGTCACCTTCGTCCATGATAAGTGGGCTGTTGAGGCCATCGAGCCAGGCGGAGTCTTGCTGGGCGTTCATAGGAGCGTTGCCCTCGGTGCTGAAAGGTACAACACAACGGATCTTCGATTATCGACCTGACCCTTCGTCTCCGGGTCTTTTATTACGGGACGTGTGTGAACGTTCGGACAATGAACGAGAACGTAGAAAACTAAGATGAAAGAAAAAAAAAAGAGAGAAGAAACACAAGTCGAGTTATGCGTCGACGACGATGTTACCGGAAACGATACAAATGATAAAGGAACGCGCCTCAACGAAGACTCGTTCGCCTACGGGGTGACCTGGGGTGCACAGTTCGAGAGAGCCTTACCTACGATGGCGGTGATGATGCAACAAACAGGTAACAATGCAACACAACATTAAAACTGGCTCACAATGAGAGACTCAAAAAATCGTGCGCATCTACTTGACGGGCTGACTACCGGTGGGTTAGAGAGCTAGACCGCAATGTGCCACACGCTCGCCGATCTCGATGGCGATTTGCTTTCGCGAAACACGCGGGAAACCGCTCCATAAGCTTTGGTTATTGTAATATGTACACTAAAGGGCTTGGATTAATTCTTTGCCAATAGATCTACGTGAATAACTTGTGCCCGTTACCTTTTACAGTGCTTTGTTGTTGATGGTGGCTTGAGGTTAGGTTAGGTGAGAAAAAGGCAAAAGGTACGGTAGGATCTGGAACTAAGTCGAGGTAGGCGCGTCAGGTGGCTATTTCGATGATTTGTCTTTCGAAATGTCGCCATTTGTGCCTCATATTTTGAGGTTATACCTATTGTGCGTTCGAGAAAAGAAGGCACAGCGTGTTTACATTCGCACGACTGATTTACTCCGCTGATTCTCCGTTGATGAAACGATGACCGATGATCTTCGTCACCATCTTCGGCCAACAGCGGTCACTGTGATGATGATGGGAGTGTCAGAGAAGTTAATCGGCCATGAGGATGGAAACACGCTATGCCTTCTTTTCTTGAATGCACTATACAAGTTCGGAATTGCTACGTATCTTGCAGAATCTTCGAAGACAAAGGACTAATTTGATCTCTTAATCCTACGTCGAGTTGGATTTCATAGTCTTTAATTCGAGTCTTCTTATACGTAAAATATAGTGCTTTGTACTCACGTCGAGGAAAATGGCTGCCAATATCACCTCTAACTTCGTTGATGGTGAGGTTAGCAACAGGTATTGGCAGCCAAGCAATTCCAAACTTTCAATATAGTAGTGCACACGCGACTCGAGTATCTCGAAAATCCTGAACAGCAGTTCGTGGTAACAATTAATCTATCACGATCACTTTCAGATTTTTGTCAAACTCTACATTCGATACGATTAATGCAATTCTATTGTCACCGATAATAACGTAACTATTAATTTCATTATTGCAAAGAGAGTTAATTCAAATTGAACTTCCTTCTCATTTCTGTTTAAATTTGCAAGCATCTACATTAAGGTTAAGGAAAACGTATAGAATAATATTGCTATACGTTTGGATTTCGAAACCAGACCATCGAAGTTTAACAACAAGCCGCCAGGGCGCGCTACCGTCGCAGAGGTGAAAAACAATATGGCGAGCGTCTACCAAGGGTAATCAGGGAAATTATTTGGACGTGTATAAAGAAAGAAAGAGATCGTTCGTTTTTTTTCTGTGTTTACAGTAGCGTCACCTTTTGAAGCTGTCGAACGTGGACCGCTTTGGCGGTGCAGCAGGGTCCCAACCTTCAGTCTTCGAGGTCGTCGAAGTAGAGTGTTCGCTGGAGCTCGTGTGATGTCGACTTCGAGTTAGTCACCAACGTGCCAATGCAGAGAGCCAATCAGAAGGCGAGACAGAAGTCGAGCAAGGGGAACAGGGGACATTATTATTTTGTTAACTTCGGTGGTTAGTTTCGTTCGCATTTTTACTCTGTCAGAGGTCGTGTTATCGGCAAAGACACTAACACGCCTTTTGCTTTTGCTGTTTCTTTATTTTTTTTTTTCGTTACTTTTTAGGTTTAGAGAAATTTCCACTGCTTCCTGGCATCAAACGAATTACTGGTCCACTATCCCATTAGTCGATTATTCGTCAAATTGTTAATTCAGAATTAATTCGCGCACCTTAACCGTGAAATTAATAATTAATATCGTGCATTATAAATATCATAAATTATATCTTATAGATATTTACAACAAATGTATCGATCTACGTGTAAAGATTAGCAGTGTAATAGGATAGTAACCTGTCCATGGCCCAGGTCTAGGGGAAAGTCGCGTGCAGATGGCGCTGCAGTCGATTCGCAGACAAACTACTCAAAGGTAAGCTTCTGTTTGAAATTACGTCTTTAATTAGCGGCAAAGAAGATCAAAATATTTAGTTTGTTGCCAAGAAACAGTAGGTACAAGAGGAGTTCCAAAGAAGGTCCATTCCCAGGATAAAATTATTCCATATTTACACGCGAAAGAGGCATAAGAGTAGCACTGGAAATTACATTCTAGTTACTTGAGAAAACCGTTCACACTGTGTCTCCAAATAGATGGCGCTCTTGTTTAGAACCTCCGTGCTCTTATTGCTCCTCGACTTGCAAAGCGATGTAAAACACATTTTGCGACAGATTTTACTCAGCAATTCCCAAATTCCACGGATCTTGAAAGACTTTTTGAAAAAAAAACCTTTCGGATCGTGAATCTATGCGTCGAAAGTCGAAAAATAAAATCTCGAAACGACGAAATTTGTCGTTTATTTATAAACGATCGCATGTATGTTCGGTTATGGAGTTCTGGGCGTGCAAGAATAGCCAAATTTAGGAACTGCTGACGCAATCTGTTCATTAACGCTTTACGTCATTACAGGTTACACGATGTTACATCACTCAGCAATTCAGTAATTAGGTAGGCTAAAACCAAGTGTCCGCATCATGCCAATCAGCCATAAAGAATTACTTTGGTAAGCCAGCAACCGATCACGATTTACATCCTGGGAGTAAGATCTCGACGATCAAAGATTGTACTAAGAAGAGATATTCCCTAGCTTACTAGAAACGCGAATGTCCAGCTCGATAATTCTATATTCTGTACTTTATCTGTATAATAATCGAATCTAAGTACTTGAGAAGATAGACGAGCTAAATTTTGGATTATTCGAATAGCAAAGAAAAAAGTATTCGAGTTTTTTACAGTTTCTTTTTTAATTTTCCCAACTATTCAAACGATCATCTATTTAGCTCTGTTCTAAAGAGACTCGAATTTGGTGCCCTGATTAACATTAACGCTGCTAATAAGAAGGCCCAAAGTGTGGCGAATTGGACTTGGAAAAGCTTTTACAAGTTTAACTGTGGAATATCTAAGTATGTCATATTACTCCTATTTCTGGTCCTTTGTAGGTTTAACTGTGAAAATATTTAAATGTCTAATGTTACATTGTTTCTATTCCTGGGTCTTTGAAAATTTAACTGTGAAAATGCCAAAACCTTTGATATCATATTACTCCTATTTCTGGTCCTTTGTAAGTTTAACTGTGAACACACCTTAATGTCTAGTACATTATTTCTACTTCTGGATCCTTTCTAATATTACATTATTTCTATTTCTGGTCTTTCTATCTGTGAAATTAGCTATATGCTTGTAACTACCATAAAAGAAGAAAATAAAGATCAAAGACATTGCAAATTGACTATCCCTCAGTAAACGCTTTTACTATGATATCCTCAAAACTGAAATTATATTTTATATTGTTGATAATAGAAAAGAATTGTACACAGAAGAAAAAATACTTCATACAATTAATTACAGCATAATATATATAGTTAAATTAATAAAAGTATTTGTATGTTGTAGAATATGTATATGTACACTTTAACAAGTGGTTAGGTATCAGACCTTTCAAGATTTTTATATATGTATATATATATTCTTCACAGCAGAGGGATTAATGCACATGCCTTATTACTGCCCCTCAAAGTTCTCTAAGAAGCTAAGTGAGCCAAGTCTGGATCCCCACTTTAAAATCTTTAATACTAGAACTACTGAAATCAGTCAAAATGTCTTCCAACTTTCTGCTTCTACAGTTACTAAAAATATACAACTACTTTACAATCCATTCTCATCAACATAGAAACTTCATTACACATGTGTAAAATTCATTATATATAGCATACATAATTAATATTAATCAAAGTGATATAATTGAAACAAAGAAACATATGTAATTCTGATTCTATTGGAACAAAAATTACTATTAATATTAATACTAACTTTGATGAAAAATTGATATAAATAAAAATGTAAAATAAACTGTTTGCAACACAAACAAAACAAGTCATTTCAACTTGTTTGGTAGTTGTACTGTCAATAAGCTTCTAGAAATGCATCACAAAACCTTCACAGATCTTTTGAAAGTCCAGAACATCAGACTAAAAGCGAAGCTAACTAACCAAAATTATCCGAATTAAAAAAAAAAAGCTGAGAGGTTAGGACTAACGAGTACCAACAAAATTTACATGAAATAGGTCGATAATTCCACAGAAACCTCGTTTTCATCCACTTTTCCGTCTCATCTCCGAGCAAACTTGGTCCCATCGTCATCGATCGATGCCACACTAATTGCTTCGGTTAATCGATGTTAAACCAATCTTCGAGCCGACACGAATTAACTTATCACCGATCCAGGTCGAGTTTCGCCGTTATTTATAGCAACCCCGGGACTAAATGCAAGTTCCCTGCAAGTTTTATAAAACCGATAACCGGAAGTCACGGCTCCTCGCTCTTCGAGGAGGTCGCCGACCCGCGTTGGTTTCTAAAATAGTGCACGACGGCTGCGACGTCGTATCGGCCTCAAAATTAACCCTCTGCTCTACTCTACCCTTGCGCGTGAAACGGATATCTGTTTTAGAAAGTTTAAGAATAATCTTAGCAGTAACGTCCGTTGCGGTTTCGCTATCTAACGACGTGCGGTTCGTCGGGAGATTAGATCGAAGACACGAGGAGAAAAAATAAATTTCTACAATAAAACTAACTCTTAATTATAACGAATTAACCCTTTGCAGTCGGCGAGTTTTTCGTTACAGAAAAATAGTATAAAAATAGTATTCGAAGATTTTCTGCTATAAAGTCAAAGATATTTTTAAAACGGTAAATAAAAAATTGCATACAAATTAAGACGTGGAATTATTTTACTTCGACATCCCATGCATCGTTGGGTAATTTTAAATTTCATACATTAATTAACACCGATCTTTAGAAACTGATAAAATGGCGACCGAAGGTCGCCTTTCGAGTGCACAGGGTTAATATCAACCTCGGGCGTATAATCTATGACAATTATAATAGTAAGTATAATAGTATCAACTTAAAAATATTATAGGAGATGTATGGGTGACCCAAAACTCACGCAGGAATTTTAATAGAAAACACAGGTTTCTTAATTAAAAATTGTAAATACTGCTTAACAATAAAGACGCGTTGTTCTTTCGTGTAGCCTCCATTTTTGATAACCCTGAACTGTCAACTCTCAGGCTGTCTTTTTTCTGTTGATAACACTTCACTGCGCAGATGGCGCGAAATTCAAATTTTGCGTGAATTTTCGGACACGTTATATAAAAATTTGAGAGCCAAATGCCAATAAAATAAATTAGAGCTAATATACGCTTCTATCAGTTTAAAAAATAGTTAGGAAATAAAGCATAGCATTCAACGATCAGGGCATAGAATTAGTCGCAATAAGAAGACGATTTGAAGAAGAAAATGTCGTTGCATCCTGTCACGCGACATAACGTGGCTATGCTCAGTGTTTCATGCTCCGTACTACTGGCAGAATGACGAAGAATTGGCTCGCAAAGTCAACACTGAGTGGGAACGATGAAACGATAAGAAAATAGTTCCTTTTATTCGTTACGAATAAGAAAAAAAAAAATTCATTTGCAGTTAAAAAGATGAGAAATGGAATAAGATTGATAGATCCAGGCCAGCTAGAGCTCTATCCGCATTCTTTGATCACGAAGAAGTAAAACTATCAATCATGCAATTCGTTCTAGGAACTGCATCGTTCTAGATTTTGTAATGGCATATTGTACGTTCGCTTCCTTACAAATTGATGTTGTTAGGTTACGAAGAAATGCTTGGTGACAAGAGAATTTAAACATGCCGAGAGATCTATATAATTCTACCTGTAACAATAACTTGAATCAGTATTTTATCTACAAATATTTATATCACATATAAAATTCGATATATCTAAATGTATAACCTCATGTACACTTTTACGAATCCAAACATAAGAATGCTTCTGACTTTTACCAATTATTGTTTTTAATATCCAGTGATTTCACTCTAATATTAAACATATAATTTCAATTTAATCTTCTATAATGAAATTTGTGTGCACTAATGAGAGAAAAAATATACTTGATTTGATTATATTACTCCCTTCGGTTACAGCGATGCACGAAATAGATAAACAATTAACGGAAAATGAGAGTAAATTGTATATTCTTTCGGCTATTGTCGGCTACTGTCGGCCATTGTCGGTTACTGTCGGCGATTGTCGGCTATTGTCGATGTTCGGTCGTACCGATGCATTCGGCGATTGTCGGCTATGATCGGCTATAATCGACGCTCATACCGAAAAGGTTACCTCAAAATATAAACACTGGATATTACTAATAAAAGCATAACACTTAATAAACTACAATAATGTAAATCTAAAATTTAATAAAATCTAATAACTCTAAAAACATATTATACAGTTATGTAACTTTTATGACATTAAACATGGCGTTATATATCGATATTGTCTTGACTAATT